CATCGAAATAAATTTAAAAATCCTCCCCCCCTCCCCTTACGGCTCATCTTTGGGGGCCAGCCGGTTAAATTTGCTGCCCACAAGTCCAGCCCTTCTCCCCCAAAGTGTCTGCAACTTCCTCTTTGGCACGCGGCACTTACCCCAGTCGGCTTCTGTTTGTGCCACACGTAGGTGTCTCGGGAACCCCTCTCGTAGCGGTACGTGGGAGGGAAGGTGATCTCCTCCTCATCTGGAAAAGCAGAATGCACGCTGGAGAGGGCTGGAGCCAGAAAGGACCAAAGCCACGCAGAGGGACGTAACAGCAGCCCAGCAGGATAAGATGGACGGGACCGCCAAGTCCGGCACCCTGTCTCACACGGTCACTGGCCACTTGACCCCCAAAGGCCTACACCAGAAGGACAACCTCCCTCTGTTGATGCCCCCCAGCCCTACCACAGCCTCCCTAAACCAAGGTGGCCTGTGTGGATCTGGCTTCAGCGAGAAAGAGAACACACTAGCCTCGTGGTTAAGAGGAGAAGCCAGTGTGTTCTCTGGTGTAGAAATCTGGTTTCAACGAGAAAGAGAACACACTAGCTTCGTGGTTAAGAGAAGCCAGCGTGTTCTCTGGTGTGCCAATCTGGCTTCAATGAGAAAGAGAACACACTAGCCTCGTGGTTAAGAGAAGCCAGTGTTTTCTCTGGTGTGCCAATCTGGTTTCAACGAGAAAGAGAACACACTAGCTTCGTGGTTAAGAGGAGAAGGCAGTGTGTTCTTTGGTGTGCAAATCTGGCTTCAGCGAGAAAGAGAACACACTAGCCTCGTGGTTAAGAGGAGAAGCCAGTGTGTTCTCTGGTATGCAAATCTGGCTTCAGTGAGAAAGAGAACACACTAGCCTCGTGGTTAAGAGGAGAAGCCAGTGTGTTCTCTGGTGTGCAGATCTGGCTTCAACAAGAAAGAGAACACGCTAGCCACAAGGAGCGTTGTCCTGCTTTTCTAAGCTCCAGGGAGGGAGCACTCTACTTGGGGCTGTGGTTCAGCACAAGGTCTGCTGCCACCCCCAGCCCATCCCCCCCTTCAGGCAGAGATGTGGGCAACTCACTGAATCGCAGGAAGATCTTGTGCTTCTCCTTCTCCAGGTTGAGCTGGTCCACCTTCAGCAGCGGCTCAAACTCCTTCCGGTTGATGTAGTTGAGGATTTCCTGTGGAAGAGAAGTCACCTTCAGTGTGCGGCGTGGCCTGAATAGACCTGGCTTCGCATCCTGCACAGAATGAGAACTCCACTGGGGTCCAGGGGAAGGCCACTCTCTCGTTCCATATACAGTCCAAGCACTGAAAGCCAACAACCTAAACTGGGCCGTGGCTCAGTGGTGGAGCCTCTGCTTGGCATGCAGAAGGTCCCCGGTTCAATCCCCGGCATCTCCAGTTAAAAGGACCAGGCAGGAGGTGATGGGAAAGACCTCCGCCTGAGATCCTGGAGAGCTGTACAGAGGGGCTGTGGCTCAGGGGTAGAGCGTCTGCTTGGCATGCAGAAGGTCCCCGGTTCAATCCCCGGCATCTCCAGTTAAAAGGACCAGGCAGGAGGTGATGGGAAAGACCTCCGCCTGAGATCCTGGAGAGCTGTACAGAGGGGCTGTGGCTCAGGGGTAGAGCGTCTGCTTGGCATGCAGAAGGTCCCCGGTTCAATCCCCGGCATCTCCAGTTAAAAGGACCAGGCAGGAGGTGATGTGAATGTCTGAGACCCTGTAAAGCTACAGCCAAGTCTGAGTAGACAATACTGACTTGGATTGACCAATGGCCTGATTCAGTATAAGGCAGCTCCGTGTGTGTTCATATCTGCAGTGGGGCCGTGGCTCAGCGTTAGAGCCTCTGCTTTGCACGCAGAAGGTTCTAGCTTCAATGCCCGGCATCTCCAATTAAAAGGACCAGGCAGGAGGTAATGTGAACGACCTCAGCCGGAGACCCCGGAGAGCTGCTGCCAGTTTGAGTAGACACAGTTGACCTTCATAGACCAAGGGTTTAATTCAGTACAAGCCAGCTTCAGTGTGTATCCAACTTGGTGCAGTGGTTAGGAGCCCGAGACTCCAATCTGGGAGAACTGGGTTTGAGATTCCCCACGCCTCCACATGCAGCTGCTGGTGTGACCTTGGGTCAGTCACAAGTTCCTTTCAGAGCTGTTCTCTCAAGGACATTTATCTCAGAGCTCTCTCAGCCCCACCTACCTCACAGGGTGTCTGTTGTGGGGAAGGGAAAGGAGGGACCTGAGGGACCGCCTTTCCCCATATAGGCCCCAAACAGCACTTCGGTTGGGGTCACAACACCGTCTAGTGACCCCGGGGCCCTAAAGAGGCCAGGCTTGCTACCACGAGAACCAGGTCCTTTGCGGTGGCGGCTCCTACCTGGTGGAATGAGCTCCCGGAAGAGATCAGGGCCCTGCGGGACCTAGTACAGTTCCGCAGGGCCTGCAAGATGGAGCTCTTCCGCCAGGCTTTTGAGTAGGAGCCGCCGCCGCCACTACCACCACCGAGCAGAGCAGTACCACCGGGTTGGGCCGATGGAGCAACTGGAACATCGTGGCCCATGGCGTCCCCCTTCCTGACCTCCCCATATATGCAATGGGGGAGTGGGTAATTATAGTCTTTCATATATCCTGTTAGTTGTGAATTTTAGCTTCAACTGTTTTAATCTGTTTTATCTCTATTGCGCCTTGTAAGCCACCCTGAGCCTGCACGCGGGGAGGGCGGGGTATAAATAAAATAAATAAATAAATAAGGAGATTGCAAGCTGCTCTGAGACTCCGAGTGAAGGGCGGGGTATAAATCCAATCTCCTCCTCTCCTCCTCCACCATGATGAGGGATCCTCAGCACACCGCTCAAACCAAACAGTGTAGTACCCAGAGCTAGCCGAACACACAGCCAGCATCCCACCCCCCTCCAAACTGGCTAGCTTCTCCAAAGAAAGGGGCCAAGGGATGGTGGCCCGGAAGTGACATTTTCTGACCCAGCAGTCCTTCCCAATAATTGCAAACAGCCAAGCTGTGGTGAAGCGGACACCCTCTGCACCCTCTCAGGGGCACCGCTCTCTTGAATATCATTTGAATCCTACCCCCTCCCGGAAGATCACCCCAAGGAAAGCCTGCCCGCCCCCCTCACCTGGATGTCCATGTCGAGACGGTAATTCAGGTCCCCGAACCAGAAGAGGTGGGTGAAGCGCAGCGAGATGTCGAAAGAGCTGAGCTGCCTGTCGCCCAGGGAGAGGAGGCGCAGGATGTCTAGGTAGTTCTGGTTCCTCCTGGAGGGCGGAGAAGGGGAGGCGGGAGAGCCGAGAGGGGGCAAAGCAAACCAGGAAATATTCGTTTTACCACATGGACTACAGGTGTGTAGCAATGAGGTGTGATACAGGTGAGAATGTGATATGGACCGTAGAGAGTTTGATGCGTAGTACAGAGGTTAAAAAGGGAAGCTGCGGTGGCTCAAGTGGTTAAGACGCTGAACTGCAGGCTGTGGAAGGTCAGTAGTTCAGCAGTTCGAGACCCGGGTGCCGCAAGACAGGGTGAGTTCCCTTCTCTAGTTCCAGCTCCTGCCAACCTAGCAGTTCGAAAGCAAGAAATCGCAAGTAGATAAAGAGGTACCACTTCGGTGGGAAGGTAACAGCGTTCCGTGCGCCTTGGTGTTTAGTCATGCCGGCCACATGACCCCGGAAACGTCTTCGGGCAGCGCTGGCTCTTCGGCTTTGAAACGGAGATGAGCACCGCAACCCTAGAGTCGGATTCGACTGGCTTTCGAGCAAGGGAACCTTTACCTTTACCTTTACCTTTACAGAGGTTAAAGTGCTGGGCTAGGATCTGGGAAACCCAGGTTCGAATCCTTGGTGGGTGACCTTGGCCCAGCCACACTCTCTCTCAGCCTAACCTACCTCGCAGGGCTGTTGTGAAGATAAAATGGAGGAGAGAAGAATTATGTCGGACACTTGGGTCCCCATTTGGGGGGGGGTATAAAAAAGGTAAATAAAATAAAATAAATAAACAAGAAATTTAAATTTAAATTCCCCTGATTTGGAAAGCCAGCCTGTCAGGTAAAAGGCGGTAACGTTCAGTTTTCGGCATTTTGGATGCGAGGGAGAAATCAAACACCCCATTCCCCCTCCAACAAGCACATATTCTAAACTAGGAGCAACGCCTGCTGTGGAGGAAGACGACAGGCCCTAGCCCGGCGCGATGGAGGCGGCCCTGGTCTCCCGTTCTTTCCCCCCGTGCTCCCCCCCCCCCGAGTCCGGGGGCAAGGGAGCAGCTTTCTGGCCGGGTGCGCCCGGTGGGCTCCGGGCGACCTCCAGCAGCCTCAGGCCCAGCCAGCTGCCGGTAGTCGGCGGCAGCAGGATCGGGCTCGGCCTGAGGTGCCTCCCCGGAGCAGCCGGCCCATCCATTGTCAGGTCGCGCGCTGGGGAGAGGACGCCCGCCGCAGCGGCAAGATTGGGCTGAGGCCCCCGGCCGCTGGAGTGTCTGACCCGTCCGCCCGCTCGAAGGCGAGTGAGGCCGAGATGCCGGGTCCCGCCTTTGTGGGCGGGACCATGGCCACAGAGGCAGCAACGCAGACAGTGGAGACAGATGCCCTGTGACTGACACACCAGGGCGCCGGCCAATTCGGGAGCGTGCCGAATGTTCTCGAGAGTGCCACCACCAAAAGGTTTTTATATATGAGAGAGATATCGGAGTCCCGAGAGAGCTACACGGCAGGTTTCTCCCCACCCACCTCCAGCTGACCACTCAAAGTGAAGAGGACCTCAAGAGCCTCTTGCTCAGGGTAAAAGAGGAGAGCGCAAAAGTGGGCTTGAAGCTCAACATCAAAAAAACTAAGATCATGGCATCCGGCCCCATCACTCCTTGGCAAATAGAAGGGGAAGTCGTGGAAGTAGTGACAGACTTCACGTTCCTGGGATCCCAGATCACCGCAGACTGTGACAGCAGCCATGAAATTAAAAGACGCCTGCTCCTTGGGAGGAAAGCGATGGCGAACCTCAACAGCATGATAAAAAGTAGAGACATCACCCTGCCAACAAAAGTCCGCATGGTCAAAGCAATGGTATTCCCAGTAGTCATGTATGGCTGCGAGAGTCGGAATTTAAGGAAGGCTGAGCGCCGAAGAATAGATTCTTTTGAACTATGGTGCTGGAGGAGACTCTTGAGAGTCCCTTGGACTGCAAGAGGATCAAATCAGTCAATCCTAAAAGAAATCAACCCTGACTGTTTCCTGGAAGGCCAGAGACTGAAGCTGAAGCTCAAATACTCTGGCCACCCAATGAGAAGGGAGCACTCCCTGGAGAAGACCCTGATGCTGGGAAGGACTGAAGGTCAAAGAAGACGGGGATGGCAAAGGATGAGAGGGTTAGACAGTGTTATTGATGCAACGAACATGAAATTTAGCAAACTTCAGAGGATGGCAGAAGACAGGAGGGCCTGGCGGGATCTGGTCCATGGGGTCGCGAAGAGTCGGACTCGACTGTGCGACTGAACAACAACAACAAAGCTTACATCACCCTCCTCTGCTCCGTGTTATCCTCACAACAACTCTGTGAGGTAGGTTAGGCTGAGATTTGGCCACTGTGCGACAAAGAGTGTTGGACTAGAGGGGCCACTGGCCTGATCCAACATGGCTTCTCTTGTGTCCTTCCACAGCATGAGTGGTGATTCGAACCTGGTGCTCCCAGACCGTAGTCTGACATCCTGGCTGCTACTCAGCCAGATCCACAACTGCCCCCCACCCCCCAGCCCCATGGATTTGCCTCCTGCCCTGCCGACTCACCTGGCTGTCTTCTCATTGCCCGAGGTGAGGTGGCAGTTGACAAAGCCGAAGGAGGTGCCGTTGAACATGAAGGAGACCCCGACGGCTCCCTTGTTGCCTGGGAAGGAAAAGGGCAGAGAGGGTGAGGAGGACGAGGAGGCAGCTCCTCAGAAGGGACGGGTTCCCCGCTCTCGAGCAAAGGGCGGGATGCCTCATCAGTGGTGCCCCCAGGCAAGATTTCGGGGGGTGGGAAATGCCGTCAAGTTGTAAATGACTTATGGGCTTTTCAAGGCAAGAGACGAACAGGAGGTGGTTTTGCCATTGCCTGCCTCTGCGTGGCAACCGTGGACACCCTTGGTGGTCTCCCACCCAAATACTAACCAGGGTTGACTCTGCTCGGCTTCCGAGATCTGGTGAGATCGGGCCATCCTGGGCCATCCACGTCAGGGCAAATGACACACAGAGTCGGTTTACTATCGCCTGCCTCTGCATAGCAACCCAGGGCTCCCTTGGTGGTCTCCCACCCAAACTGTAACCAGGGCTGAGACTGTTCAGCTTCCGAGATCTGGTGAGATCGGCCCAGCCTGGGCCATCCAGGTCAGGGCCAAAGACAAACAGAGGTGGGTTTGCCATTGCCTGCCTCTGCACAGAGACTCTGTACCGTCCCACTCCCTCACCCTGAGGGTTCCCTCCTTACTGTCAGCTATGCTGCCATGGGGGTTGGGATGTTCTTTCAGTGTCTGTGTAAATTGATTTTGCATTCCTTCCTCTCTGCTTTGCGCTGAAATGCTTATCTCTAAAGACGTGCAGGTGGTGATGTGTGTTGTCTGCCTCCCAGGCTGACCGTGGGAGCCGAACAGTTCCCAGCTTCGCCTAGTAACGCTTGCCGGCTCTAGCCCGCGTGCGGGAGGGTGCCTAATTGGCCAGCGCGGTGGGGTGTGTGTGTGCATACGAATGCCCGATATCTCGTTAGGTTCAAGAGGCAACTGCTATTCTTAACAGTGACTATGTTAGTGCATCTATGGCTCTTCAATAAAAGTATCACCTTTCTAAAGAAGTGTGTACTCCGTTGTTGGCTGTGGGTTATGACACTTACCCAGAGTGTTCGCAATCCCCGTTTTCACACTCGAGGTGCTCACGTGGCTGATCCGGTTCTCGTGCTCCGGTTTCACCAGGACAGCAATTTTAATATTCCACAGGGACTGCATGGCTATCTGGAAAGGAAACCCAAGAGGTAGCATCTCCGGCCCTTTCGGCTGCGGAGTTATAAAGGGAACCGTAGTGGCTGCACATTTCTCCTTCTCACTGTGCAAACAAAAGTGCTAGGCTTATATGAAAGCTGGGAACTAGTGCATAGCTGCTCACCCTACAGCATTATAGCTAATACCGTTGTTGTTGTTTTTTAAAGCCTGAAAAAAGCCCTCTGGTGACAGAGGGGTCACGGCAGACATGAAGGGCCGAAGCGAGGAAAGTGAGGAGGAAACTTGATTAAGGATGTTCCACTGCAGGAATGAGAACCACACGAAGAACTGCTTCTGTGTGGAAGCGGTCCGGGATAACTATGCTTCTGTTACTGCAGGCTGGGATCGCGTTAGCCTTTTTTGCAGTCGTATCACACCGCAGGGAATCGACTGCCACCATCTGGACTGGAATGGCAGCCAAGAGAAGGTGTCCCCCACTCTCTCTCCACCGGCCCCTTTGATTCTCCTTGTCTAAAAGCAGAGCTCCGACCCAGCCTTCCACAAAGACAGAGAAAGGGATGCTTCCTCCACCTGGTACACCCCCCCGTCAACCCCCTCCCCCAGCTCCCGAGCACCTACCGGCCGGTAGTCCATCTCCGTGAAGTCCTTCAGGACCCCCCGCAAGAAGTCCACCCACTCTTTGTCCCCCATGGAGTTCTCCTGGGTGCCGAACACGTAGATGTCGTGGGGGATGGTGACCGTCATCTCGTCCAGCGTCTTGCCAAGGCCCTTGGAGGCAAACCACGAATTGATGTTCTTGGGAGGGGGCACACTGCCTGCGGGGGGGGAGAGGGAATCAACCTGAGTCATGGGTGTCACAGCATAAAGAGGGTCCCCCCGCTCCTACCCCCGGCTTCGCGTTCACGTGGGAAGTCGGCCGCCTGTGACGCGTCGTGATATCTCAAGGTTCCATTATGGAAGAGAGTCAGCAAGCTGCCAATTGTTTTCTGCTTTCACTTTTACACGCATGCCTATTTGTGCGCTTAATTGCTTCACAGCAGCAACGTATATCTCTCAAGGCCGCAGGAGGAGAGCCGCTGGATAGTTGCTTGGGTTATCTCACGGAGGTGCCATGGGAAGAGTATCTGTTCTGCTTAGTGGGACCGTTCATTCTCAGGCCTAATGGCGCGCGGGGGAACTCCCGCAATTGGGCCTTCCTAGTTTGAATGTACTATAACCTGTCATACTCTCTGACTCCTCGTCATTCCTAACGGCGATCCTGTCAATGCATCTTCAGCTTCAATCAAAGTAAAACCTTTCTGCAAGTGTGTACTTCGTTGGGGCTGTGGGACCTGACAAAGAGTCCCCAGCAAGGTGACCCTCTGCACCCTGGCCTCCACTGATACCTTTCCTGGATGGACCAGGCAAGGGTTTGACACTGGCCCGTGGCTACCGTGCGGCTAGTCGGGGCTCCGCCCCCTTTCTTAAAGGGACAGCCCCACTAACCCTTCCCCAGAACAATCGGTGATCCTTTCATCTCTTTTGTAGAAGTCGTCAGTGTAGATGGAAGACCTTGCAGCCGGATCCTGGGAGGGTTTACTCTCGAGTAAGTCATTTCAGTCTAGGAAGACGGACGTTCAGCTATCGTGCGGCTTGAGAAGGGGTTAAACACACTGAGGACTCATACAAAAGAGATGAAAGGATCCAGGTTTTTTCTGGGGAAGGGGCCACGTTGAACAAGGAGGAAAGAAATGGGGGTGGGGGGAGAGCATCAATACTAGGTTCCCTTTCTTGCCTCATCCCCCCCCGCCCAATATCTGCCAAATGGGTTCTGCATTTGGGAGAACAGCGTTCCGTGCGCCTTGGTGTTTAGTCATGCCGGCCACATGACCACGGAAATGTCTTCGGACAGCGCTGGCTCTTCGGCTTGGAAACGGAGATGAGCACCGCAACCCTAGAGTCAGATTCGACTGGCTTTCGAGCAAGGGAGACCTTTACTTTTACCGCAAGATCAGGGTGAGAAAATGGGGCACAGATTGTTCTGGGGACACAGGTTGCTCTGTACAGTTGTGCACAGACAGAAGAATCATAGCAGAAATGGCAGCCCCACCGGAAAATAATCTGCCCCACAAGCTACAAAATCCCGCCTACGGGCCTGGCTTGAAGAAGAAGAAGAAGAAGAGATTGGATTTATACCCCGCCCTTCACTACCCAAGGGTGTCTCAGAGTGGCTTACAAACTCCTTTCCCTTCCCCTCCCCACAACAGACAGACACCCTCTGAGGTAGGCAGGGCTGAGACAGCTCTTCACAGAAACGGCTCTTTTTCAAGGACAGCTCTTTGTCAGAACTATGGCTTGCCCAAGGCCATCCAGCAGGTGCATGTGGAGGAGTGTGACAGAGTGTTGGACAGGATGGGCCTTTGGCCTGATCCAACATTGGCGTCTCTTATGTTCTTATGAGTGGGGAATCAAACCCGGTTCTCCCAGATTAGAGTCCGCGCTCTTAACCACGACACCAAACTGGGTCTGGGAAACTAGTGTCCCAAGGAAGAAGAAGAAAAAGAGATTGGATTTATACCCCGCCCTTCACTACCCAGAGGAGTCTCAGAGTGGCTTACAATCTCCTTTCTCTTCCCTTCCCCTCCCCACAACAGATAGACACCCTGTGAGGTAGGCGGGACTGAGAGAGCTCTTGACAGACACGGCTCTTTTTCAAGAACATCTCTTATCAGAACTAGGGCTTGCCCAAGGCCGTCCAGCCAGGTGCAAGTGGAGGAGTGGGGGAAGTCCGCGCACTTCACCACGACACCAAACTGGCTCTCTTGACAGCTGAACACGCTCACGGGCCTGCCTCTCCTCCCCCTTCCCCAGTGGCGACACTCACCCATGTTCCATGTACCAATGAAGACGGAAATCATGTCTGGTTCGTCCTGGTTGGAATGTCTGTTCTTCATCAGCTGCAGGAGCTGGCAGAAGGCCTCGCGCTTCTAGAGAGGGAGGAGGAGGAGGAGGAGATGAGCGAAGCCATGCTGACCGTGGCACACAAAAAGACCTTCGCAAAGCTCCCTAGGCTCTTCTCGGGCAGTTTGTCACACGCGACAGAGAAAAGGCACGAAAACACACCCCAGACACCAAAGAGCTTTCAGGTGACAAGGCTGGGCTTCTAGAGAGCCAGTTTGGTGTCGTGGTTAAGTGTTCAGACTCTAATCTGGGAGAACCGGGTTTGATTCCCCACTCCTCCTTCACTTGCTCCTGGCTGGGTGACCTTGGGCTAGCCGTAGTTCTGTTAGAGCTGTCCTTGAAAAGGAGCAGTTTCTGTCAAGATCTCTCTCAGCCCCGCCTCCCTCACAGGGTGTCTGTTGTGGGGAGGGGAAGGGGAAAGGAGTTTGTAAGCCACTCTGAGACACCTTTGGGTAGTGAAGGCCGGGGTATAAATCCAATTTCTTCTTCTTCTCCTTCTTTTACCTCACAGGGTGTCTGTTGTGGGGAGGGGGAGAGGAGTTTTTAAGCTGCTGTTTTGTCAAATGCGCTAATCCATTTCAGTTGCTGATGGACAACCTGAGGCGACACAAACTTCTTGACCCAGAGAGTGATTAAAATGTAGAATTCGCTGCCTGAAGGTCAGTGGTGGCCACAACCACAGGTGGCTTTAAAAGGAGATTAGATGGATTCTGTGGCAACTAGCGATGGTGACTGAGCGGAACCTCCATATTCAGAGGCAGTCGACTTCTGTATCCCAAATGCCAGGAGGCAACATCAGGGGAATGCCTCAGCCTCTCTGCCCTGTTGTTGGCCCTCCAGAAGAACTGGCTGGTCACTGTGTGAGACAAGATGGATTAGACGGACCACTGGTCTGATCCAGCAGGGCTCTTCTGAAGTTCTTATCAGGGGAAGGCCTCAGCCTCTCTGCCCTGTTGCTGGCCCTCCAGAGGAATTGGCTGGCCCCTGTGTGAGACAGGAGGCTGGACTAGGTGGACCCTCCCTGGTCTGACCCAGCAGGGCTCTTTTGAGGTTCCTATCAGGGGAAGGCTTTGGCCTCTCTGCCCTGCTGTTGGCCCTCCAGGGGAACTGGCTGTCCACTGTGTGAGAAGAATGGTGGACTAGATGGACCCTCCCTGGTCTGACCCCGCAGGGCTCTTCTGAGGTCCTTATCAGGGGAAGGCCTCGGCCTCTCTGCCCTATTGTTGGCCCTCCAGAGGCACTGGCTGGCCCCTGTGTGCGACGGGAGGCTGGACTAGGTGGACCCTCCCTGGTCTGACCCCGCAGGGCTCTTCTGAGGTCCTTATCAGGGGAAGGCCTCGGCCTCTCTGCCCTATTGTTGGCCCTCCAGAGGCACTGGCTGGCCCCTGTGTGCGACGGGAGGCTGGACTAGGTGGACCCTCCCTGGTCTGACCCCGCAGGGCTCTTCTGAGGTCCTTATCAGGGGAAGGCCTCGGCCTCTCTGCCCTATTGTTGGCCCTCCAGAGGCACTGGCTGGCCCCTGTGTGCGACGGGAGGCTGGACTAGGTGGACCCTCACTGGTCTGATCCTGCAGGTCTATACTGATGTTCTTATGGACTTCTGTTCTCAACCTTCACATTCAGAGGTACTAATTCCAGGGCCAGGAGGAAACCTCAGGGGAAGGCCTCGGCCTCTCTGCCTGGTCTGATCCAGGAGGGCTCTTCTGATGTGCTTAAGATCATCAACTGCCCTTTCTATTTCCCCAAGAGAAATACAGCATCTGCGGCCTCTTTGTGCCAGGATGTGGCCTCTCCTCTGTTCACACGAATGGCCACGTTGACTCTCAAGTGCACCAGATGTTAGCATCTAAACGTGCCATGTCCCCACAGACGGCAGGCCATTGTGCCAGCGGACGGGCAGAAGCGTGCCTGGAATGCAGCCGCCCCGAACTCACCCTGGCGCTGACGAAGATGAAATCCTTCCGCTGGGTCCTGTCCTTCTCCTTCTCGAAGACTATCCCCAGTTTATTCTGCACCCGCTGGGACTTTATCAGCTGGCGGACTGGAGAGAGAGAGGGGGGGGTAACAGGTGAGGACAGGGAGGACCTTTTCTCCCTCCCCTCTAACGCTAGAACTCAGGGGGTTCCGATGAAGTTGACGGGAGGTAGGTTCAGGGTCAGACAAAATTACTCGAGCAATTCAATTGTGGGATTCACTGCCACCCCCTCATGGATCACTGCCTTGTCGTGGCGAGGGGGCTTGCGTGGTTCGATGAGGCTGTGGGCTATGCCGTGGAGGGCCACCCAGGACGGACAGGCCACAGCAGAGAACTCAGACCAAGCGTGATCCCCTGGAGAAGGAAATGGCAACCCACTCCAGTATCTTTGCCAAGAAAACCCCATGGACAGTATCAAAAGGCTAAAAGACATGATGCCGGAAGATGAGCCCCTCAGGTCAGAAGGTGTCCAATAAGGAAGGCTGAGTGCCGAAGAATAGATTCTTTTGAACTATGGTGCTGGAGAAGACTCTTGAGCGTGGTTCCCTCTAAGCTGAGTTAGTGTGAGCTAGCCCACAGTTTTTTAGCCTCCGGCTCACACATTTTGGTCTTAGCTCAGGAGGGATGGCTCCAGAGCAAACTAACTGATGCAGCAGCCAAATCGCTTGCTTGCAACTTTAATGCCAGTAGCTCACAAAGTAGAATTTGTGCTCACAAGAGCCCACAGCTTAGAGGGAACATTGCTCTTGAGAGCCCCTTGGACTGCAAGGAGATCAAATCGGTCAATCCTGAAAGAAATCAACCCTGACTGTTCCCTGGAAGGCCAGATAATGAAACTGAAGCTCAAATACTGTGGCCACCCAATGAGAAGGGAGCACTCACTGGAGAAGAAGACCCTGATGCTGGGAAGGACTGAAGGTCAAAGAAGACGGGGACGGCAAAGGATGAGATGGTTAGACAGTGTCATAAATGCAATGAACATGAACTTGAGCAAACTTCAGAGGACGGCGGAAGACCGGAAGGCCTGGCGTGATCTGGTCCATGGGGTCGCGGAGAGTCGGACTCGACTGTGCGACTGAACAACAACAAATTCACTGCCAGTGGATGGAATGTTGAGCACGAACACAGATGGCTTTAAAAGTGGGGTTAGCCTGCAACGATCTCTCGTTCGGTCCCTCTTAGCCTGCAATGATCCCTCTTATTATTTGGAAAGGTGGTATCCCATTTTACAGAACCTGGGCCCCGGTCACATGGCAAAGTTGCCGCGGGAGAGGCACGGATGGTGGGCGGATTATCCGGGCGCGATCACACCCCAACATCTGGGAAGTGGAACGCACCCGTGGCTTACCGCCGAAAATGCGCATTAAAAAAGTAGTACCTTCAAAGGACCAGTAAACGTTTGCCA